TATCAAAGGAATAAAGCCAACTACAAAATAAGAATCAACAGAATGCGGTAATCCAGTCATAAAGGACAGTCAGATGTGCTTACACATATTGGCTCTAATATTCTTTCATTTCTGTTGGTGGACATGGAGGGCTGGTATTCAGGTGGTAAAGACCAAGAGTGAAAATAGGAAGGGAATGTATTAGGTACACTGTCACGGACACCAGTGGCCACACAGACGAGAGGTGCCTGTGTGAGCCCAGACTGTGAACGTGCATGGTCTTTTACTGAGAAAGAGGCTGTGAACACAAAGGGACGGGGGAACAGATTTCTGACTGGCTGTAAGTGGTGCAAGGGGCTTTGATATACGGGAGGATAGTGGATTTATGACTCCAGTAAGATGGAGACATGGGCTGACACCAGCAGGATGGTGGGATTTTTGACTCAGATAAAGAGGAAATGTGGGCTGGGACAAGTCAGCCTGAGCTATGATGAGGTGAGCCATTTCCCAGGGCTGTTAAGGCAAACACATGTCAGGAAAGGATGTGCTTTGTCTTCCAAAGAGGAGCAGGCAGATGTCTAAGGGCTGGAAGTTTGGGATCAAAGGGCCTTGGCAGGCACTGGTTGGCACCACAGTTTATTCTACTTGCTCTTGATTTAGTGTTCTCTTTTTTTCCGCCATTTGTTCTTAGGGTAGAAACTTAGGTTATTAACTTGAGAGCTTTTTTATATTTTTGTATAAGCATTTCAGCTATACATTTCCCCTAAGCACCATTTCTCTATGTCCCTTTAAATCATGTGGATTTTCATTTTCAATTGGTTCAAAGTATGTTCTAATTTTTCTTGTAATTTCTTTTTTGACGCATGGGTTATTGGGATGTCTTTTTTTAAATTACGAGTGTTTGAGGATTGTCTATATTTACTTCTGTTTTTGACTTGTAATTTAATTCAGTTGTGGTCATAGAACATACTTTGCATCAATTCAGTTCTTGAAATTTTATTGAGACGTGTTTTACGGCCTTGTACTTTGTCTTTCCTGGAGAATATTCCACTTGTTCTTGAAAAGTACATGCATCCTGCTGTTGTTTGGTGGCGGGTTCTATACATGTGAGGTACGTCATGATTGCAAATAGTTTTAAGTCTCATACATGACCTGTACTCTGTGTAGTTGTTCTATCAGTTATTTAGAGTACTTAGTGTCAACAAAACCAACCCAACAAAGTTGCCGCTTTCTAATAATTAAAGAAAATTCTGAAATAGACATTGGTTCAGGTATTAATTCAAACAGGTGATTTTGGTGCTGAAACCAACAGGGAGGGTTTCTGGTTACAGCTAATGGATACACCCATGCCTTAGTTTCCAACCTCCATGTTTCGATGTAAGTCTTAAACAGAGTAATCCTTTAAATTTTCCCGATACCATACCGTCAATCTAGAAAGTCAATAGGGGAATGAAATTTTGATTATTGCATTTTAAATTTTGTTCAAAGTATTGTACAAATTGTAGTTTTCCAGGAAGTTCAATGATTATTCAACTGGAGTAGTCTAAAGTGTGGGGAGTTTAGGATCAACTAAATCTCCAAGTATAACCTTCACGAGGCCAGTTCAGATGCACACCTTCCTCAGCTCAGTGTTGTGGGGCAGCCTAGTGCTCATTCTGACAGGGCCTAAACCCAGAGGGGACAACATCAACTGGGCAACTGGGCAAGATCCTCTACCATTTTTCGAAATAGAAAAATCACTTGTAGGACTCACTTTAAGATCCAGATGCTGTCAACTCTGCTGTTTCATCCCCAGATGCTCTTAGCCATTCTGCTCCCCCTCATCCTTACTCAGCAGAGCCTCACTCTACCCCTCCTCTCCACGACCACTCTCAACAACTTAATCAGCCTCAACCAGAGTTGTATTGCAGCTGGATCTAGCCTCTGACATGATGGGAAATAGGTGGATTGGAAGCTCTCGCTGATGCCGTGAGTACCCCAGGACCATGAGAGCACTACAGAGGGCACACTTGGGATGGCCTGTGGACCAGCCCCAGGTCCAGGAAGCCTCATCCAGTTCAGGTTAACAGCTTATACTTAGCACAATGTTTAAGAACACAAACTTAGCATCAGAGTGATCCATGTTTAGATCCCAGCTTTGCCACCTCCTAGCTGCAAAATTTTATGCAAGTTACTCAGGACCTCTAAGCTTCAATTTCTTTATCTTTAGAATAGATTAATACTAATCTTGCAGTTGTTTGTGAAGAACCAGTAAGATCATATATTTAAAGTACTGAGCCTTGTGTTGAGCTCATCACAGACGATACTCAAAAATGCTTTCTCTTATTTTTTATTATTAACTTTAATTAAAAGCTAGTTCAGCCTATTCATGAATTAAACCAATGTCAGCCCAGAAAAGTATGAAGTATTGTACACAGAGGTTCTAAAAAAACTCTTAAACACACAGTCATAGATACCTGGGTCCCTGCCCCAGGGGCCATTCCCTTCAGACTGGATTGCCCTCATCTTCCTGTCCTAGCCCTAAAGCCCTGGTTTCATAACTGATGTATAATATCTACCTTTGATCTCTTTCAGATTTTGAGGGTTTCTTGATCCTTTTCTCTGCCATTTTGGACCTGAGCTCCCTAGCATACATTTTGGGTCTAATATTGTTACCAAGTCCAAGCTCATACTACTTGCCACATGGCAGGCCAGTAAATCAAGAGATGAGGTGTTGGGGCAAGAAATAGTGACTTTATTTGAAAAACCAGCAGGCTGAGAAGATGATGGAGCAGGGTCCCAAAGAACCATTGTACCCGAGGTAGAATTCAGGCTTCTTTAATACTAAAAGGGCAGGGGTGTGGCTGGTTGTTGCAGACCTCTTAGTGCCCAAATCGTTTCTTCTTGAAGCTGTCCACATAGGACTGGTCAACAATGTTCCTTTAAGCCTCCAGCAAGACAATCATTATTTCCTGTTCTGCAACTTTTTAATCTATACGAAGGAAAAGTGTTGTACCTTTAAAGGTCAAGGGTGGGAGGCTGGGCCTTGAGAAAGGGCTGTCATGTGTATATCAGGCTCTAGGCAACATTCCTTTACAAAAGGTGCAGATCCAGTGGACTAAGCGCAGGGAATGGAGCACAAAAGTTTAGAACTAAAGGAATAGATCCAATATGGAGTCAGGTTTGTTCTTCTCTGTCACAGTATCTCATTTCATGTGGCTACTGTCTCTGTAAGGTGCCCCACTTGGAAACAGACAAGGAGTCAGCACTGTTCTGTTTTTGGAAAGCAGTGAAACATTTGGGCCCATTAAGCCTCCTTGCAGTGACTTTTGTTACCAAGGTCAGATTGTCTTCTAGAAAGTTTGGTCAAACCATTGAGGAGCTGGTACAAAGAAAGCTATAGACACCTTCCCCCTTGTAATTCGAGATCAATTTTGAGTCTTTGTAAATTTGAGAACTGGAAGATGAGAAATGGAAATCCTTAGATCTTGCAGCTTTTAAAGTTAATCAATGAAATAGTCTCTGCTAAGGAGTATTATCTGACTTTACTTTTTATAGGGACTTGGATGTTAAGTGGCCTTTAAAGCTATGTTTATGATTGTCTGGATGACTCTTGGAGGCAGAGCATATATAAACAAGTTCAATATAGAAGCATTTACCCTTAGAAGAAAATCTTGAATGAAACTGTCTTGGATCTGAACTGATGGACACATTAAATATTTAAAGATTTTCATTGCAGAGTTTTGGCCCCACTTTTTCCCAGATTGTATTAGTCTCGTCTTAAAATTTTAATACGTTAGGGGAAACCTCCATTCAGTATTCCCACAGATAGCACCCTACAAATGTGAGCTCACAGTCTAAAATTGCAAAATACATGGGGAAACAAACCATGAGTGAGAGTGAGCAAGACATTCTTAGGTTGTAATATTTTAAGAATGATGAGTAAAATGTTTAAGATTTTATATATGCAGCTTTCCCCTTCTTTTGAGAAAACAGCAAGGAAATAGATTTTTATGTATTACTGGCTCAAATCAGGTAACTTTTTGGCTACCAAGAACAGGGAATAATGACAATGCATGGATATTTCAGCAAAATGCTTTTCTGACCTTTTGGAGATAGTATAATATTTTTAAGCCTTTTTATTTTTAAATAATTTTAAATTTATTAAAATGTCTCAAAAATGAGAATTCCTTTCTCAGTGCATCATGTTGGGGGTACAGATACCGGCATATCTTATTATTGCTGATTTTAACATTGGTCACTTGGTTAATGTGGTATCTGCCACTTTACTATAAAGCGAAACACTGGTAAATTATCTTGTGGGGAACTACTTTGGGACTATACTGATATTATGTTTTTTATCAAACATTTCTTCACTGATTTTAGCATTTATCAATAGCTCTTTGCCACCAACAATAACTTTTAGTGTTTGCCTAATACTGACTTTGTTTATCCTTGTTCCTTACACATTTGTTAACTAAATGTTACTGAGTCCAAACTGGTTCTGCTCACCACACAGACAGGCCAATAAATCAGGAGATGAGGTATTGAGGCATTGAGGCAAGGAATAGTGACTTTTTTCCGAAAGCTGGCAGACCAAGAGGATGGCAGGCTACTATCTACCAAGTCAGAATTAAGGCTCCTTTTATACTACAAAGGGGAGCGGATGTAGGTGGTTGTTGCAAACTTCTTGGTGCAGGAATTCTTTGTTATTGCAGCTGTCCACATGGGTCAGGTCATGGTGTCCCTATAAAACCTCTAACAAAGCAAATGTTATTTTCTATTCTGCAGCTTGTTATCTTTATACAAGTGCAAGAGTGTTAATATCCTTAAAGGTCAGAGCCTTGAGAATGGGCTCTCCTGTCTCAGGCTAAAGGCAGCATTGTTTTACAGAAAGTGCAGAGCTGGCAAGGCTAAGACTGGAAAACAGGGCACAGGGTTAAAACCAAAGGAACAGATCTAATATGGAGTCAGATTTGTTCTTTTCTGTTACATAAAGACTATCTGTAAAGAAGAACAATCTTTCTCCTTTATTTATTTAAATATGTATTTGCATGAGTAAAATCTCATGGATATTTATTTTGTTCTATAGGTTACCACCCAATACTATCATTATTTTCTTGCTCAGATTGTTCCAATGTTGGCCACTGGGAGGAGCTTCATGTTGGCTCTTGTGGTTTTTGAACTCACCTGCATTCATTTTGAAGCATTTCCTAATTTTCTGGCATCATAAAATGTTCCTAATTTACTTTGTATTTTACATGCCCTCGTCCTGGCTTCTCCAAAAAAAAAAAAAACTCTCATCCCTTTTACTGGAGAAGCGTATTTAGAAACCAAGATCTGGGTGCTAGATATGCTTGCTGCAACTTTAGGTGTCCCTGATTTTAGCCTTTCTCAGGAAACAGCTGGGCATACATGTATGTGTATTAACACACACACACCTACACATCCATGTCTGTTTCTATCAATGTTTGTTCATATATTAAACTAAGTGAGTTTATGTTGATACCTTGGATCCCCATCCAGCACTGCAAGTTTATCGCCCTTTGCTCTCCTTACCTCCGGGATGTGGCTTACCAATCCATACCTGCTTTAGGAAGGTGTGTGAAGAACTGAACAGATGCATGTGGAGCGGGGGTGGGGAGGGGTTCACAGTGTAGTCTAGAGGAGATAAACATCTGTGAGGGAAGAACCCAGTGATGACAGCATACAGGAAAATGCAACTCACTTTTATTCTTTCTTATCCTAACTTGAAGTTCCCTAATGGTGAAACTCGATTGCGCTATGACCTCTAGGAGTGACATGCAGTTTGGCTCCCCTCTTGGTTTTTGGTTTCTGTTTAATATACCGATATGAGTGTGCAATCTCTGTGTTTGCATAGGCAGACAAAATGACTTTAAGTACATTTTCTAAGATCTTTCTATTGAAATGAATTACTTAAAAATAAAATTTTCTTTTATAATTATATAAATATATATTACAGTTATATAAATATGTAATTTATATAAATTCATAATTATATAAAATATATACAAATAATAATTCCAATAATCTGGAATAAATTATAGAGCCTTGGGACTGTCTGGTCTTTGAAGGTTTGGTGTAATTCCTCTGTGAAACCATCTGTGTCTGATTTATTTTGGGGGGAGGCAGACTAGTCATTTCTTTAGTAACTTTCTCTGTTTCTTTGGAAGTAGGTCTAAGCTTCTTAAATCAAATGAAGTTAGTGTTGGTAATTTGTATTTCTTTAAGAAACTGTACATTTCATCTCAATTTGCAAATTTATTGTCACAGAGATCTCCAAGTTAGTCATTCATGATTTTTAAAAAAATTCCTCCTCTTTCAGTAGTTATTTCCTTTTTTATATTTTCTTATTTTGAATATTTGTGCTTTATCCTCTCTCTCACCCCCCACAATCAAGTTCACCTGTGGTTTGTCTATTCTGTTAACTTAAAAGAAAAAAATGCAGGATTTGGCTTATTAATGAGAGCTACTATTTTTCTGTTCTCTATGTCCTTAATTTTGGCTTTAACTTTAGAATTTCCCTCCTTTATTGTGGTTTACTTTGTTCTTTTTCTAGTTTTTATATTGAGAACATAATTGATTTATTTCATTTTTATTGATAAATATGTGTTGTGAAGTGATTTTCCTCTGACCGCTGCTTTAAAATGTATCCTTAGACATAGGCAGTGCTTCATTGTTTCCTTTTAAAAATTATACTTTGTTTGTATTTCTCCTTTTACCAAAGAGTTGTTTGAAAAAGTTTTTAACTTTGCATATAGAAAACCTTGTTGTTGTTGTTGTTGTTGTTAGTAATTTCTGATTTTATTACATTAGAAATAATGTTTAAAAAATATTTCTACTTTATGGAAGTTACTGGCATTTTCTTTGTAATCTTTGTATATTGTATCAACAACTTTGTGAATGTGCCATGAGCATCAGAAGAAA